ATCCATAGGCCCCATAGTAGTTCCTTTTTGGGGATTCATATTTAGAATCCTATAAGGTAATCCCAAAAGGGAACTACTATGGGCCCTAAACCCTAAACCCTAAAACCCTAAACCCTAAACCCTAATCCTATAAGGTAATCCCAAAAAGGAAGGACTATGGGGCCTATGGCTAGAGGCTAAGAGCCCATCCTGCAGTCAAGTTCGAGGGCTTCGGTCGTGCCTTATGCGCGGCTCAAACATGAAAGCCTACAAGATTTAGGGTTTAGGGTTTAGGGTTAGGGTTTAGGGTTTAGGGTTTAGGGTTTAGGGTTTAGGGTTTAGGGTTTAGGGTTTAGGGTTTAGGGCTACAAGATTGGAGCAAAAGTTGTAACCGCAAGGGTCCAAGGGACCCCCAATAATCGGGTACTTTGGCTACGGATAGTAGTCATCTACCTTTTGATCTATTTGGGAGAGGTACTTGGACCCCCAGGGTAAGACGGCTGATATAGGGGCCAAGAATAAGGTTTGGGGGCCCATGATACTCTAAAAAAACTTAATAAAGGAATCCCCAAAATAAAATTTAATAAGGAATCCCCAAAATGAAATTTAATACGGAATCCCCAAAGATAAGATAGTATAGGTAACTATTTTAGGCCCCTACATTACTGGGCTGAGACACGAAAACCGGAAACCCTAAACCCTGAACCCTAAACCCTAAAACCTAAACCCAAACCCCTAAACCCTAAACTCTAAAACCTAAACCCAAACCCCTAAACCCTAAACCCTAAACCCTAAACCCTAAACCCTAAACCCTAAACCTAAACCCTAAACCCTAAACCCTAAACCCTAAACCGGGATGCTTCAGCCTTGGACTCGTCCGAGAGCAGCTTGGCCATGACCTGCTACCAGAGAGCCCAACTTACCCCTTAATGAAAGGGGGAATACTTAGGGATTTAGGGGTTTAGGGATTTAGGGTTTAGGGGTTTAGGGTTTAGGGACTTTGGAGTTTTAGGGCTTAGGGTTTAGGGCTTTAGGCTTTAGGGTTTAGGGTTAAGGGTCAAGGGTTCCCAGAGAGCCCAACTTACCCCGTAATGAAGGGGGAATTATGCCTTAAATCATAATTTTAAGGGCTCCTTTAAGGGTTCTTTAACGGGATCTACCCCTTAATGAAGGGGGGATATACCTTAAAGCATAATATTAAGGCCCCTATAATTTGAGGTATATATTCCTTATGTAAGGGGTACTGTATTGGGCTCTCTGGGTTACCAGGCTTGAGGCTCGCAGCGAACGCAGAATAGCGCAGCTTGGCGACTGAAGGACGACATCATGGCACGTGAAGTTTATGCTCGATCGATACAAAAACGGGCAGAAAATCAAGAATAGGCCCGCCGATTTGTGCCTCTCCATAGACGGAAGCATCCGCTCCGCGACCAGCAACGACCTCTTCAGGGAATCAGACCCAAGCGAAAGCCCACCCCAGTAGACAAGCGGCCTGTCTATAGGTCCGAGCCCAAAGAGCATATGCCAAACTGCACATCCAATCCTTATAAGTTCTCTGCATATCAAGCAAATTGAAACCACGTAACCTCCTCTTCAAGCGGCCTAAACGCTAAAAGGCCCTGAATCCCATATAAATCCTATATAAGCCCCTGTAAACCCTTGTGAACCCTAAAAGCCCTAAAGCTCTCTTTTCAGGCTCAAGGCCATACAAATCCCTATAAACCCTTGTGAACCCTAAGGGCCCTATTACTAAAGCTCTCTTTTAAAGCTTTTGAGGTCCCTGAATCCCATAATATTCCGATACCAATCCCATATAAATCCCTATAAATGTGAACCCAAAGGCCCTAAAGCTCTCTTTTAAGGCTTTTTAGGGTTTAGGGTTTAGGGCCCTGAAGCTCTCTTTTAAGGCCCTAAAGCTCTCTTTTCAAGCTAAAAACCCTATAAACCCTAAAAACCCTACTCCCCTTGTGAACCCTAAAGGCCCTAAAGCTCTCTTTTCAGGCGTTTTAGGTCCCTCTAGAGCTTCAGGGCCCTAAACCCTAAACCCTAAACCCTATACCTTAAACCCTAACCCTAAACCCTAGTTAGGTCCCTCTGACTCTCTCAGAGGTGCGGCCACCTCCGCAGCCCAGCCCCGCAGGGCCGGCTCCGAGGAGCGGAGGGCCTCGCGTCTCACGGCACTCGACTTTACAATATATATATATATACATATACATATATATATATACACATTAATATATATATATATATACATATATATATATATATATATATATTTATTTTTTTATTTATTTATTTGTGTATTTATTTATTTATATCTATGTATTTATACACATGCATACATGTATACATATATGTCTGCTTCTAAGTTTTGGATATAATTTAACATACATGTTACGTATATACATATGTAATACATAAGTTTACCTTTGCAAGTATGCGCACCCTTAAATTCAGGCTTGCACTTCTGTTTATACGGATGTGTGTATGAATGTATGCATGTAAGTACGTGTGTCTGTTTGTGTGAATCTGTGTGTAAATACGAACGTATGTATATTGTATGCTTGTATGTTTGTATGTATGTATGTATGTATGTATGTATGTATGTACGTATGTGCAGGAACATAACGATATGTATGCACATATCCATATGTATTATGCTCCCGTTAGGATTCTGCAGGAACGGAACATGTGTGTGTGTGTATATATATATATATACACACACATGTACTTACACTACACTGTACCATGTATTGTAAATTTCGGCTTTGTATCTTGGGGCGGTTTGGCAGTCTGGAGCTGTGAACCCTGCTAGCTTGACAGTTGACGGCAGTTTCGAGGCCAGACGGCCAAACAGCGAGGGCTTCTCGTTGCTGCTGGCGCTCTTTCTTTGATTGGGCATACCTTCCCAGGCTTTGAGCGACTCCTCGGCACGGCACAGGGCACTTGGGCCGTTCATGCATGAAGTATCAAAAAGCTCGGATTTCGAAGCGCTGTGTCAGCATGATTTCACAGATAGACACGGCTTAGAGTGAGAGGTGGCGGATCATTCTAAATATGAGCGTATAACACTCCAGCGAAACCGTACGAACCCGTCACGCCAATACCAAGCCGACCAAACCCAAACAGCCACAGCATCCGACGAAAAAGCACGCTCGAAAGTCATCTTTAATTTCCGTCTCCAAATGCTAGTGCGCGCATGAGCTAGTAGCTAGTAAATCCCTGGCTCAAAATAGCCCAAAGTAGGTACTATTTATAGACTGTAGACCCCAAAGTAGGTACTATAAACCCTAAACCCTAAACCCTAAACCGTGGCTAGTAAATGAGTGAACTACAACTCTTCACCCAAGAGTAGCTATGCAGCTAGCCGGCACCAAAAACTCGAGGCTTTATCCACATCGCAGCTTCTCTCGCTGTTAGGGGCCCATAAAAGCACATAAGCAAAAATCAGGATAGGGATATCCCATATAAACCCCCCCCTATAATGAAGCCCAATAAGGTAGGGATATCCCTATAAAATGCTTATGCTTATGTGCCTTTTGGGCTCTTAAACTGCACCCTAAACCCTAAACCCTAAACCCTAAACCCCTAAACCCAAAACCCAAAACCCAAAACCCTAAACCGCTTAGGTGCCAGCAGTGCCCACGTCCAGCTTGCGGAGAGAGCCGCGACATGCTCCTCGAACGGCCTTCTTCGACGTTTCAGGGTTTAGGGGTTTAGGGTTTAGGGTTTCGGGTTTAGGGTTTAGGGTTGGTTTAGGGGTTTGGGGTTTAGGGTTTAGGGCTTTAGGGGTTGAGGGGTTTAGGGTTTGGGGGTTTAGGGTTTAGGGTTCAGGGGTTTAGGGGTTTAGAGGTTTAGGTTTAGGGGTTTAGGG